CTTCAAACAAGTCCAGGTCACGACGAACTTAAACCTGAGGTCTTAAAATCCTTCAAACAAGTCCAGGTCACGATGAACCTGAACCTGAGGTCTTAAAATCCCTCAAACAAATCCAGGTCACGATGAACCTGAACCTGAGGTCTTAAAATCCTTCAAACAAGTCCAGGTCACGATGAACCTGAACCTGAGGTCTTAAAATCCCTCAAACAAATCCAGGTCACGATGAACCTGAACCTGAGGTCTTAAAATCCTTCAAACAAGTCCAGGTTCTTACGACCCTGAACCTAAGGTCTTAAAATCCTTCAAATAAATTCAGGTCCCTACAAACTTGAACCTAACGTTTCAAAATCATTCAAATAAATTCAGGTTCCCAAAGAACCTCAATCCAAGGTCTTAAAATCCTTAACAAGAAGTCAAGGTCTTAAAATCCTTCAAAAACGAATTCTGGTTCCTAAAGAACCCCGATCAAAAGTCTCAAAATCCCTGGCAGCTATCGACATCTAAAAAGAGATCCCAAGTAACATCAGGTCCCGAAAACCCAACCTCGGAATCTCTCGCTGAAAAATGACGGAACCTGTTGTCAACTTGACCCCTGACCTTCACCCGAAAGTCTCCTAGACCTCATATCTAACTACGGGACATGCAATTAACATGACCTAGAATTATTTGTTCAAAGAAATAAAGACTTCTACTTAGACAATCAAATTTATGCTAAGGGATTCATCGAAACGTCGACAAGACCCTTAGCAAGAAAGTTTGATCCCAGTTAAGAAGAAACGAAAATCCTTACAAGTCGAATGACTTAATGCCAAATCGAAACAGAGTAAAATGAAATAAAGGTTTAAATGCCTCCCCAGGCTACTTAAGTTCAAAAGATCCTAACACAAGCAAAGGTTTAAAAGCCTCCTCAGGCTATAAGTCTTAAAAACGAACAAAAGCCCGTGAGGCAGAAATCCTAAAAACATGATAAAACAACGAAAAGGAGATCTTGTCTTCTGTCTCCAAAGATCTCCTAGACGTCGCGACCTCGCTCGACTGCCTCATTGTCCACGGCTGGGGCACCTGCATCCGTCTCCTTGTCATCACCTTCTGGAACCACTTCAGCCGGGGCTAAATCAGGACTCACCAAACCTAAGTTCGAACCATATCCTCCAGAAAAGGACAGATTAAACATGGTAATCTCAAAAGTACCTGAGCTTTCTGAGAGTTGAGGAAGAGGGAGCTTGCTAACCTAGAAATCAGAAACCTGAGCCCTCTCGTAAGCAGCAACCGCTTCCAGCATCAAAACCATCAAACAGTTGTACTCCTCCTCAGCACTTTGAATATCATTTGCCAGCAAGTCCTTCAAAAGCTCCGTGTTAGCTTGGAGTTCTTGAGCATAGATCTGTGTTGGGGTCAAAATCGGTACGACGGAATCAACGGCCGAAACTCCCCACAGAAATATAAAAGGAAAAGTTTGGCCATGAAAACTCCTGTAATTTTGTGGAAAAGTTTGGCCATGCTCCTGGATCCTGGATCATCATGACTAGGTCCTTGCAGTCCGTACCGAACGCCTGACACGTCAATGTCTGCATCATGCACTCCATTTCCTACAGAAGTGCCTCTAGTTCCGAGTTTAGAGGTGAGATTCTCCTCCTCTGATTTATTAGCTCCTAGAAATTGGATTTTTCCACCAGTGTTCTTCCATGTCCAGCCACAACCACTGAAGAGTGCGTCATGAGTCCATGATCCATCCACCATGCATCTCCCTAAATCATCCAAAAGTTCTTGAGTCTGGTTCTCCGTGATTATCCCTTCCGGTTTATTGTTTGCTTCAAACCAAGCATGACATTCTGCTTCTGCATCTCTGGCAGTTTTCAATGGGTCCTTGTCAATCTCTCTGAACAATTTGTCATTCCGAACCTTCCAGATATACCATATAATCCATGGGTAAGGATCCTTGTCAAGCTCCGAGTCTTCAATATCATTTTTGCGCCAGAACGAGTAATCCATATTTGTGTAATGGCTCGCACTGGGAAACACCGTAGGTGGAGTTATGATTGATGCTAAAGCCCATATTTGTAATGCCGGCGGGCATACAAATAGCATGTGATTGATTATTTCATTTTCAGCCCCACACCCAGGACAATGATTGTCACATCGCATATGACGGTGTGTTAAGTTGCTAGTTAGTGCTAGTTGTCCTAGAATTGATTGCCAAATGAGATGTCGGATTTTTGATGGAGCTTTGATCTTCCAATCAAAGGCTTGAAGTGTGACTATACTTAGTTTTAGTACTGCTTCTATTTCTCTATTGAGAACATTTGTTGCCACCAAGTATTCAGACTTAACCGTGTATCTTTCACTCTTAGTATATGACCAACAGAATGCATCTCTTTGGTATCTCTGACTTATGGCCAAAGATCGGATCAGTGGGATATCTTCTTGAGTGAAATATTGTTCAAGTAGTTCCAAGTTCCACTACTTTGGATTGCCACTCATGAAGTGGCTCACTTGAAACATCGGGTGAACCACAGAGGCTATCGGTCTAGCTGGACGTGAAGGTATCGTGGGGATCCATAGGTCTTCGCAGGCCCTGATCTCATTCCCCGAATGAACCTTTTGTCTAATCTCTAATGTTATTAGTGGTGTTGCCGCCATTATACTAGTCCACCCGTATGAGGGATTATCAGTACTGTGAAGTCCAAAGGCGAACTAAATCTGAAGTATTTTTCTCTCAATACTCTTGCTAACAAGGTGTCAGGAAACTGAACTAGTCTCCAAAGTTGTTTCCGTAGAAGTGCAAGATTGAACTCATGGATCATTTTGAAACCTATCCCACATTCTTCCCTTGGTTCGCAGAGCTTCTCCCATACTATTCAGTGAATACCTCTTTTCGGAGGTTTTAAACTCCACCAAAACTATGAAATGGCACTAGCTAAATTTTCGCAAGTCTCTAAAGGTAGTAGGAGTGTCGACATAACATAGGTTGGCAGCACCAGCAGGATAGATTTGATTAAGACCTCCTTTCTTCCACGTGATAAGTATCTCCATGTCCATCCGTTAACACGTTTTTCCAACTTTTCCTTCAGGAAAGCAAAAAGTTTCCTTTTTGATCCACTTATGTTCTCTAGGATTCCAAGATAAGATCTCATCCCTCCATCATTTGTTATCCCTATTGTGGCTTTGATTGCATCCATTACCGGAACCGGTACTTTTTTCCCAAAGAGTAAAGCTGATTTCTCAAAGTTAATTCGCTGTCCTGAAGCTCTCTCATATGTCTTAATTACTTTCATAACTTCATCACATTCACGGGGCTCCGCCTTACAGAAGAACAAGGTATCATCAGCAAACAGAAGGTGTGATACCAGGGGGCTAGCGCGTGAAACACGCATCCCCGTTATCTTACCTTGAGACTCTGCATGATTAAGAAGGTTAACGAGCGCTTTCGTGCATAAGATAAAGATGAAAGGAGACAAAGGATCTCCTTGACGTAGTCCCCTGTGGGGAACTATATTTCCTCTCGGTTAGAACATGGTATTTTACAAATGATACACATCGCATTATCCACTCAATCCATAGATCAGAAAAGCCCATTTTCTTCATAACATCACTTATGAATTCCCATTCTAAACGGTCATACCCCTTGCTCATGTCTGTCTTGATTGCCATTCATCTGTTTTTTCCCCTTGGATTTGTCCGCAAAGCAGGAAACATTTCTTGTGCTATCAGTACATTGTCAGTTATTTGTCGTCCTGCAACAAAGGCTGACTGCGTCTCAGATATACGATCGGACATAATTTCTTCAGTCATTGGCATAAGACCTTAGATATAATTTTGTAGCTGACATTGCAGAGACTAATAGGCCGAAACTGAGACATCTCATTCGGTTATTCTTTCTTTGGGATGAGGCATATATTTGCATCATTAAGACTATCCGCCATAATTCCATCGAAAAGGAATTCATTGACCATAAGAGTTAAATCTGCTATAAAATTGTTCCAAAATTTTTGATAGAACAGAGCTGTTAGTCCATCTGGTCCTGATGTCTTTTCTGGATGCATTGAAAATAAGGCAAACTTTACCTCTCATTCTGAGACTGGAGCTGTAAGGCTTTCATTCAATTGGTCAGTAATCATTGAATTCACATTTGACAGGGCCTCATCAATGAACTCCGGATTGGAGAATTCAAATAATTCTCTAAAGTAACTAGTTACAATGGCCACTAGCTCCTCCTCATCCTTCACTAAATTCTCAGCAGAATCTAGTAGACTTGTAATTTTATATCTGGTTCTTCTTTGTCGTGTGATACTCTGAAAGAATGTAGTGTTTAAATCCCTTTCTCTGAACCATAAATTCTGCTCTTTTATTTCTAAAATCTCTCCTCAGACTTAAGAGCTTCTGTAAGTTCTTATAAAGCTTCCCCTATATCCTCTGTTGTGGCATTTCAACATAATACATGTACTTTTTTTTGTATCAAACTCATTTTGCCCTTACAAATCCAACACGTAACGATGTCTGAGAGTTTATGAATTCACCCAACTACAAAAAGATCGTTATAGAATGAGAATAGCGTCCCTTTTTGATTTATATGACTAATCATCCGTGCAGTTTTGAGCTATCTGTACTATAGCTATTACTTTGTTCTTATTTCAATAACCTGTAATTATAGAATTTACTAATGAGGATTAGTTAAAAAATGATAACAAGTGACTCTACGGGTCATCACCACCGTTGATCATAGCTAACACAATCCTAGCCGTTTAGAAAACGTGCGTGGTAGGCTCGACCAGTGTGTAAAGATAATTCGACACGCGGCAATGTTTTATTCGATCATTCATCCGCTAACAAAACGAACAGTAGAAGAGCAAGAAAACGTGCCGGCTCGAAACAGACGACAAACAATTCGTCCGTTTTATCTTGCGCGTTTAAATTCAAGCTTCAACAATAAAAACACGTTAATTGAACGTAACCTATATTTAAACCTTTGAAAAAACGCTCATTTTTTCTGATCTGCTGTTAGGGAAAAAGCGTAATCAGATCGTTTGTTCATCAGAAAAAAACAAACAGAAGACAGAAGCTTCTTTTTGTTTGAAGATCATTCATGTCCTAAAACCTCATCTTTTTCACAATCTTTGAATGGCATCGGTAAGATCTTTCCCATTTCAAGCTTTTTTACATTCCTTTGTTGTATGTTTTACATTAATTTGAGCATTGGAACATCTCTCTCCACAAAAAAAAAAACAGAATAATCAACAAAGACAACAACAAGATCGACCATTACCAAAATTTGGAGAATGGGACGTGAACGATCCAGCATCAGCCGAAGGATTTACCGTTATATTCGCTAAAGCTCGAGACGACAAAAAGACAAACGCTAGTGGTCGTGCTCCCTCGCAACGCCGTGACAATAACAACAAAGGGCAAGATGAACCTACGGTATAACACATTCCTTTTAACAAATTGTCAAAAATTTTAGGACTACGTTTCCACAAACGAAAACATTAGCTTAAGAATCCGTTACTTTCTGAAAATACGAGGGCTAAAGTGAAAACCATTTTTGCTATTCTTGTGCAGAAGAAACGGTTCTGCTGTTTCTGAGAAACAAAATCAAGAAAAGCCGACTACTCATCCAGAACATTTGTAAAATGAAATTGTTTGATCATGGAAAACAGTTTCATATTCACTGAATCTGTATAAAACTTATCATTACAGAACATTACATTGTACTTACACATGTTACACAATATCAATGTCTCTTAAGCCACGGTTTGGCGAATCTTGATCTGACCCATTGTTACTCGTCTTTTTCTTGAACGATTTCTGGCTGAAAATCCGAGATACGGTTTTCTTAACCGGTCTTGAACCACCGCCTTCAAACCGGTTATGTTTCTTGTCTAGATCATTTGATAGTTTCTTCACTAGTTCCACAAAATGTCTTCTGAACGTTGGATATCTTGATACTGATTTGGTCAATCCTTGAAGCCTTTTGAATCCAAAACACAAATGGTTAAACCAAAACGAAGGTCTCATTTAAGTGATGTTTTTTGTTTTATATTTTGTACCTGCGAGCAAAGGAGTCAAGTTCTGCTTTTCTTAACTCCGACAAAGGAGGAGATTCAGATTCGGTAATGGAGCTTTTAAGTCTCTCTGAATCTCCAAACAGCAATACCAACTTTCCAAGATACTCTTCTTCTTGTTCAGATAGATTCGCTGCTTCAATCTGGTCTTTAATGATCAGAAACGGATTCAGAAACCAATCAAAGAAGGCATCTTTAGGGCGGTTCCTTGTTGTTATCTCCGTTACACCGTCACCTACACGTAAAACGCAGACCATTTATGATGCATAGAAGCTCTGAAGATACTGTAAAAACTGTTGAACGGTTTTGCAACGTACCGAGTAACAAACCCGTGGAATTGGATTTGATAGAGCGTAAAAGCTCGTAAAGAAGGGAATAAGCGGGTAAGCCAGTGCTGATCACTTGACTGCCTTTGCTAGACTTAGCTTCTTCTATGTCCTTTGAGTTTATAATCCCTTTCGTTACCATAGTCTCTCCGTACTTCCTACATTCCTCAAAAAGAGCTTCTAGAAGCTGCAAAAAACCATTAAAAAATCAACTTAAATAAACAGTCGAGAGAAATGGCATAAGAGAGAGTACGTCAAGTGGCTTCAGGTCAATCATTGGGGCTTTGTTTGAGCCTCCTCTTGATGGAGTTGTCTTGAAAGAGCTTGGTCTTGAAAGACCACCAGTACCACCACCTTCCTCTTCCTTTCTTCGAAACTTTGGCCTGTTTAAAAAAAATAAAAAGTTCCTAGAGTCAAAACAGAAATAAGAATTTGCTGGAAATGCAAAATTGCAGACTGAAAAAAACCTGGGAAAGCAAGAGCCTTCAGGCATGTCAAGAACATCATTGCTATACTCATCGTAAATCGACAAAGAAGCAACAACATAGCAGAGGCCAAAGTAAAACGAAGATTCCTGGACAAGATCAATTGAATAAATTATCATAAAAGACTCACACTTAAATAAAACGGAGGGCTTTTGATGATAACAAACCTGATATGAGACTACACCTGCGTAGGCACCAAGGAATACACTAGAGACCACAGATCCTAGAACTGCCCCCACAACACCTAAAGGCCAAAGTAAGATCACAAGGCCTGCGATAGGGACACACATGGTCTCCAAGAAAGGACCTTCACGTCCAATGAGATCATGAAACAAACGGCGCCAGCCTTTGAACAACATGTATGGGCTTTTAAATAAGGCAATGAGTGAAATCACTGGGAAGTCAACAATAACTCCAATAACCCCAGCAATCCCAGCGCCTGGAAGTTGGAGTAACCTGTGAATACAAACTGTAAGAAAGCAATGTTATACATAATTTACTAAGAGTTGTGTAGACCTTATTTCATAATAGTGAGGATCCGCGCCAGATGTTCTGAGATCATCCATAAAAGAAAAGTAGGAGTGAAAGCAAACGTCTCTAAAATCGCAGACAACAGTGAAACTGCCTTTAACGGTGCTCCAAGTTCCATCCTATGACAAATGAGTAATGAGATTGAATAGTAATCCACATGGACATGAAAAGGAAGTAGAAAACTTACGTAAAAGCAATGGAAAAGCGGATTAGACTTCCCTTCGCCAACAGCATCAAAGGTGGCGAATATTGGGGAAAGAAAGCCATACACAGCTCCTCCGAGGATACTTCCTACGATACTAACAACAAGCCAGAGGATGATGCCGAGTGGAAGGCATAAGCACAGAAATAGCTTCAAGATTGGACCTAACTGTTGAGCACTGAAACCAAAAATAAAAATAAAGATACACTTCTCAATATCCAGTAACAAGGTGAAAATGTTGTGGAGAAACAAGAGAGAAAGTTAACCTTGATATTGAATATAGAGTCCAAATGCCATGTACTGGTAAAAGGCCTAAGATGATTGCAGAGTTTCCAATAGCCATGATAAGGCATATTAGCGGGCAGAAAAGGATACCTACGCAAAAAAAATTAAAAAAAAAAACGTAAAGAGACGATCATTGGCACATAAAAATGGAACTTTCTGGTATTGAAGAACTACTCTTGTAGATGAGCCACTGTACTAGTGAGTAACATTTGTAATAAACATAACAAAGTTCACAGATTAATTAAGTGTCATCTTCGATTAAAATAAAGTACTTTTTGGTACTGAAGAACCCTAAATGAGGTAAAAAACTGCTTGATGAATGAAGAAGCTCCCACTTGAATGACTACTTAGTTGAACAATCCAAAGGGGTCCTAAAACTAAACAAGCAGTGAGGTCAACATCACGTTACTAAGTCAAATCCAGAAATGGACCAGGCAATATATTAACAAACCCCTGATGAAATCTGTCTCAGAAAGATTCAAAAGGAAAGGACTTTAGTAACCACGCAATCATGAATGGTACAAAAAGGCACTAAACCCATCATCAGATAAGACTCGAATCAGATGAAATTAAAGTGAAAGTTCATACCCTTAAGAACACCCAGAAGGAGTAAGCCAGTGAAATAAGGAATGAAGAGTATGAATCGCCACAGAGAAGACAATATTCCCCTTGGAGGCTCCATTCAGTCTATCTTCTTCTTTTCTCTCAGTCAAAATGTCGCATTTATAAAATCGATTTTGGAACCCTAAGAATCAGGGCAAACGAATACATAGTAAACAAAAGGTAAAGCAGATAGAATGAGAGAGAAAGAGGGAAACTGTCATAAAGAGAACAAGAAAGAAGTAGTCTTTTCTATCTGAGAATTTATAAAAATATCTTAATTTAAATTTGAACAACAAGACACGAAAAGATTCGACACAGAGAAGAAACCGTCTTTTTCGACGACTTATTAACCCTACCAAAAAACATACGTATAATTAAACAAAATCTCTGTTTCTTGTTTTATTTTTTTTATAATCTACGGTTCCCCAGGGTCATTCGTCGGGACTCGGTTAGGCAGTGGACGACTTCACTCGGGAGGACTTTATCTGGACTGGGGACAAGACCTAACACCCAAACTATGAAACCGTATCAACACTGTTTCGCGTGTCCCAAACTACGTGGTGGTCTGCACTTTGTTCGGTTATTAATTGTTTTTATAAAAAAAAAAGTCAAACGAAAAAAATTAAAATAATCAAAAATGTATACTAGAAATCAAAACTAGTAGAGTTTGCTATTGGAGGTGCTCTAAGAGACAATACAATTCAAGAATCACAACTGTTACTTATTTTATTAATAATAAATTAATAACAAACTTACATCAATCCTCTATATATTAAAAGAAAATCATTTAAAAAGTTGTAACCTTAACTTTGTAATAAATAAAAATAACACAATCGTATGTGACATAGCTCTGTTCTTCTATTTCAATTTAGAAAGATTCTAAAGCATATAATATAATGTATAGTCTAAAAATTATATTCTCTAGCAATATAATATTTCGTAGGTTATAGTTGGTCGCATATATCAAATATTTATTGTTTCGCATGTTTTCCTTAAAGAAAAGCTACAGAATTACCTAATGTGATTAAAATATATATATGACAATTAATGATTTTAAACAATAAAGATTTGATAACAACATGTATACTTTTTCTCATTTTTTTATTTCTTTATTATTAAAATAAATTACACAATTACATTAAGCTTATAATAAAAATCTAGTTTTTTTTTGTATGTTGTATTTCGAATTTGCAAAATGAGTATAAATTACTAAACTGAAAGTCTCACATAAAATTTTAGGATCAATTTTTTAATTTTTTCTATAATAAAATATAATGATTATAAGACCATATGAAGAAATAGTTTTAGTTTATGATAATTTAAGATTGATTAAACTAAACTATACATCGTACGAAAATACATACTTATATTTTGATATTTTCATTGAAAATATATTGAAAAGTTAATATTTTAATTTTGAAATATGTCATTATTTATTTTAAATGATTATAAATTATTGAAACTACTAAACATATCACATTAAAAAAAATTCGTTGATGTAAAGTTTTTACAAAAATACGCAAATAATCATAAAATCATATGAGTCAAAATCTCATTTAATAAATATCCATATTAAAAGTGTGCTATATTACTATGTTTATATCATTTAAATTTAATTATATATGATATATAATATATAAGATTGATTATTTTGCGAATAAACAAGAGTGATAGTTAAATTTATATGCATACGTCAATTTATTACATAATATTAACTGATTTCTTAGTTATTTAATATATATATTTATTTTATTATATGCAGAAAAATATAAAATAAATAATAAATATAAAATACTTATTATGCATAAAGTGCAGATCTTAACCTAAGTATGTATCTCTTTAATTATTTTAAATCTTAAGTATTTTCTAAATCTCAGATCAAAACAAACAAAGGAAATGAGAATAAACTTCAAAAAAAAATATTTATATCGAGTAATAACCAAAAAAAAAAAACACAACAAGAAAACAAATTGAAGATAAATAGGATTGACATGTGAACGTAAACTTCTCCTAACCATAACTAATTTTTAAATTGTTAAATCATGATATAAAACTGAGTTAATTTTTAATTTGTTAATTTTTAAATTTCTTAAATCATTATGATTATGTTAAATCATGACCATAATTTATTTTAAATTTTTTATTCGTATTTTAAAAAATTAAAATATTGTTTTTCAAAATAATTTAAAATAATTTAATTCTTATCATTTTTAAATAATTTGTAAAAAATATAATTTTCTAATATTATTAGACAAATAAATAAATTATATTAAATTAGTTTTAAAACTTTATATATTTTAAATGGAAATATCTTACCAACTATTTCTTAAGAAAATATTATGGAACTTGCTTATACTCTACCAATCAAGTCCAGTGACACTCCGTTTATTTTCCATCATTCGAACACTGAAAAGTGAAAAGATATATAAAATTGGGTCCATTAAATTCTAAGCTTTGATCTACAGTTCTACAGATAATTATATAAAATTCCAAAATTCTAAAATTTAAAATACATATAAAAACAATCATATGTAAATTTTAAATTTGTCAATACTAAAATTTTATATTTTAATTACATACATTTACCTTGCACAAGGCGCAGGTCTTATCCTAGTAATATATTATTTTTACAACGAATTATATTCAGAAGATAATTTCTCTATTAGATGAATGACCAGCCTTTTTATATTACTAGGTAATAACCCGTGCTTTTGGCGAAATGAGATTATTAATTTTATTATTTTTTAATATAAATAAGATACCAAATCTGTTTAGTCTGGATATTGGTTCCATTTTAGGTTGTTTTTTGTTTTGTTTTTAATCTCCAAAAGTATAACCATCATTTTAAATCCATATTTATTTTGGTTTTGTTCGGTTAAAATGTTTGATATTTTTTTTATTTTTCAGTGATAAATAAAAACTATTATTGTTTATTTGGTTTCATGTTATATATATTTTTGACACTAATCATGTCGAACCAATAGTTTCTTATTATAATTTCTAAAGACATGCAAAATCATATCAAATCTAAATAATGGTTGAAGAAAAAAAATTATTAAGACAAATCATTTCACTATAATTTGATCAATGGTGAAAAGAAACATTAAAAAAATATTTTAATTTCCAAAAAAAATAGAATCCTTACTTATGATTAATATTTAGTTATATAGTGGCTTACGTCAATGTGTACATGTGTTGTATATCAAAGTATATAAATGTGGTGATAAATATATGAAGATACCATTACTTAACTTCAAAAAACATTTATGTTCAAAATAACATATGATAGTGAAATACTTAAAAATAAAATTAAATAAAAATAATACAAACCTAGAAATTAGTAAAAAAATTTAATACAAAGAAAATAAAATTTTATCTATACAAAATAAAAATAATATATATTATAATGTGATATCTTCTAACCTTATTTTGTTTGTTTATGTTTGATTTGGACCAAGTATGGCCGCTTTACGTATTCAGGACTGGCCGCATGTGGCTTCGAATCCCTGCTGTTCTAACGGCTTATGTATGGACTGAGTTTTATCTTATTTGATGAGCTTCAAGAATGGAAAAGTATTTTCTAAGTGTAGAGGGAAGAACATGTATTGACATCTCGTTTCTAACTCTTTTTGTAGATCGTCCTATTCAATACTCGTTTGAGATGTTTGAAAATATTCTCGAAGTTTCATGAGACTTTAGATGTGAACGAAGAGACATGCCTTTTAGAATCTCGAATCATGCCTTAAGACGTTAGAGACCAGTGTGCTGGGTTAGGGTAAGGCCTAAGTTTACTTGCGTTTTGAGGCTTTGCGATGACTAGTCGGCTTTCATTTTGCATGTTGCGATTTTAACCTGATTTTGTACCGATTTAGAGTCTGCTATAGGTTCTCGGCTTATATGACTCGTCTGGTCGGAACCAAGCATCTCTCCGGAGACAATTTTTAAGCCAACCGGAAGTGCTGACCAAAATTTCGGATTTATTTATAGCGCTATTACCCTCGTGTCGGGTGTATGAGGACTATTCTCTTTTGGATAGGTCTAGATGTGTTTGCTTAAGACGGCTGGGGTGCTCGACGGTGGTCAATCGACGAGCGTTTTTATTTTATACTCACGTGATATACCATGATTTTGACCCGCCTTTACTCATGGTATATTAGTGTTTTTACTACTATTTATTATATTATAGAAGCTTTTAAGTAAATTTATAGGTTCAGGAGTATTTTGGAAGAAAGTGATGTTTTTGGAGCATTTTAGAGAAAGTTGGAAAAATCACTCGACTCGGAATCGACCAAGACGACCGAAGTCGACACGGAGTGACTCACGTCGATCGATATGCACCTTGCATAATCGATCGATGCCGAAGGCGCGGAGACCAACTCACGAGACAAGCAAACTTGAAGTCCAAACTACACCAAATTACGATTTTACCCTTGATGAGTTTTAATCTAAGTTTATATACTCTGCCAAACTGTTAGAGGCAGAGAGAGCTTTTTTGTATTATTTTCACAGAAAAAGGTTTTCTATCTATGATTTGTGATTTGAACTCCATTGTTTTCTATCTATCTAATACTATACAGTTTTATTACTTTGCTTGTGTTATGAATTGCTTAGCCATGTCTGAATAATTCAATTGTTAGAATTAGGATTTAAATAGGTTAGTGGGATTAACCCTAACTATAGGATCGCTTGTTGTGGTATTCATTAATAGGATGTTCTTAATGCTTATGTTCTAGACTTCCTAACTAAAAACCTGAATTTAGGATTGTTAGGTTGTTTAAACATCCTTGAATAACTATGATAGTCTTGAATACATCCTGATTAAGCTAGGATTTTACTGGAGATAAAGTGAGAGTTTTGATCTAGGGATCCATAGTGAGTATTTATTAACTCGCGTGTAACGCAACTAGCCGCATCGATCGATATACCCATCGGAAATCGATCGGCGTTGAGTAAAGTGTATCGATCTATATTCCTCTAGAATAATCAATCGACACTGTTATTGATCGGACATTCTTGTTTGGGTCGAAAACACTTTAGTCAATAAACATATTTATTAAGGCGAGAGTATAGTAATTCTGTTATTAAGATAGTTAAGCTCTTTAATACCATGCAAACAACAAATTAGCACTTATAAGATTATAATATCCAATACTTGAATAAAAGCCCTAAGTCTAACACCTTTTCATTTAAGTTCACAAAACCCTCATTCCATTATGTCGAGTAATTTTCTTGCTCAA